TCGCTCCGATCACGCTCTCTCGCTCCGCTCTCTCTCCCTCGCTCCGCTCTCTCGCGTTCCCACTGCACTCCCTAGTTCGCTCTCCGCTCTCTCTCTCTCTGCTCTCCGCTCTCTCTCTCTCTCTCTGCTCTCTCTTTCGCTCTCTCTCTGCTCTCTCTTTCGCTCACACACTATCGATACGGTAATCTCCTAAAGTCTGTGCGCGGCAACGGTCGCGGTAAGGCTTACAGCTGATGCTTCCTGGGAGGATCGCGTATCCTCGCGGATCCTCCCTCGTCGCTGCCCCCCTCGTCCTGGGGTCGTCGATCGTCGAGAATCGGCAAATTTCGGTAATATGGTCTCGAGACACTTTTCGTCTCGAGACATTGTTGACATCGGGAGTTCGCATGTTGTCTCTCCCGGCTCTCCCGTTTTTTCCTGCCGGGTTTCTCGCGACGGCTGCTTCGCTAAAAGTAAATACAGCTGATCCGTCTAAGCGCGATACTGTATTATAACTACGATAGCTTCTCAGCGATAGAATATTCTCTATTGCTGAGCGCCCGATAATTCGCGATAATATATTTGCATCACCAAAGTACGAGAGTGCGATTCACCTGAGCAAGGACTTCGCTAATTGGCATCCGCTGCATCCTCCCTCCTCGATGTCCTCGGCTTCTCGTTGTCCTCCGCTCCTCGTCCTGATGGCCTGCAAGGGACGTCGAGGGGCACAAAATTCGGGACGCGCTGACCTTCGCATCTGCTCCGCTCGCAAAAATCGCTTCTTCGCTTTGTTCTAAATCGTCACAATAAACAATCCGACGGAACGCGATATTCGGCAAGGTCTCGAAAAACCGTTAGCGACACGGCACGCGATAAACATTCTCACTAATCGGTACGGGGTTCTTGGGACGGGCACCTCCACGGCTGCCACGTCACAATTTATACAGGATACTCTTATCTCGATCATGTCAATCCGTATTATTGTTAAACTTTCATAAAGGGATGAAAAAGTTTGTAATTTCTGTTTTGTGTGTATAAGAGCGATTTTATATTCTGAATAACAATAAGAGTAATTCTTTTGTAAAGTGGAAACTAATTAGGTGATATTAATTGTGTAAATGAATAATTCAAAATTTTTAGCTAAATTTAAGATTTATTTAAAAGAAAAGTAAAACAAATTTTTAATCTGTTCGCAACGTGGCCGTAGGTTTTGTGGCAAGCGAACTTCCCGGACAGCTCGAGCGATTTGATCGTGTGAGCTCGGACGACGCACCGAATTTGTATTGTATCTAGATCAGTTGGTGTTCGATGTGTCCGATCGGAAAGGTGTTAATTAAGAAAATCGCTTCAAAGACGAAACAAATTTAATCTTAAGTAACAAATAATACACAATTTAATATATAACGAGTGAATGTATGGTTGAAACGGAGTTGACCATTACTGATGGCAAACGTGCCGTGGTCGAATACTGAGTACCGGCGATAAGACGGTTCGAAAACGAAAAAGAGACGTTATTCTTGGTTGTCGCCTTTTAAAACGATGATTCTCGGCGCTTGGCCACTGCGGATTAGCCACGGCGCTTAAGTTTGATATGACGATATACAAAAAAACTTGATTCTTCTTTCTAACGTTCGCAGCCGCTTTCGGAGTTTGATGTTAGGCGATAGTTGCCGTGGCAACGGCACGCACAGCGTGTTATTCGTAGTCGGTTAGCCCATGAAAACAATTAGGGTCACAGCTTGATAAAGCGTGGATCCAGGCGACTGTTATGATTCGAACTGTTATCCGAGTCGACCTCTTCGGGATCGAACGATCGATCTCGAACATACCGCCTGCCTCGAAAGGACTTTCGAAAACAAAAGAAAATTAAATATGTGAACACGGTATACAATTAAAGGACGTCGCGGGTACGCATCTGGAGGTATGCGAGAGCGTATCGCTGTTAACGCTTGACATATGGCACGCGGCTTGCCGCCCGCCGTGAACGGATGACATAATAGCGAAGAAACCGTTTTGTGTAGACAACCGTTCGAGGGCAAGTGAACCCTTTCAGGCTAAAGACACTCTTGAATCTAACTGCCTTTAAGGGGGGAAATCCAATTAGAACGAGGAAAAATAAGCTATTTTCAAGAATTTTTTTGTAGGAGAAAGAATTTTTCTATATTTTTCAAACTTAAACATTTATTTATATATGTTTTGGACTGTCCATACGTATTTTTTTTTCCAAAAATATTTAAAAATGGCGGACATATGAAGCATCCCATTTGGCAGGTACGCGTGCGAGTTGCTCAGCTGCTGGACAAATGGCGTCCGTGATATTGATCCTATAACAGGCAGCGAAAAAATTCTTATTATTTATACCCATAATTCGTAATTGAACCTAAAAAAATTGAAAAAAGTCAAAAATTTTGAATATGAAACGCTTATGAAAATAAATTTCCATTTTTTGACGTTTTCTCTGCACAATTTTTGCAATAAATAA